CTGGGATTACAGCATGTGCCACCATGCCTGGCTAATTTTTTGTATTTTTAGTAGAGACAGGGTTTCACCATGTTGGCCAGGATGGTCTCGAACTCCTGACCTCAAGTGATCCACCTGCCTTGGCCTCCCAAAGTGTTGGGATTACAGGTGTGAGCCACTGCACCTGGCCGATAAAGGGAACTATTTAGGGTGAACTTACATTTCTCTTATCCTCCAGGCAAACACAGAGCAGCCCAAGCTGAGTAGAGATGAGCAGCGGGGTCGAGGCGCCCTCTTACAGGACATTTGCAAAGGGACCAAGCTGAAGAAGGTGACCAACATTAATGATCGGAGTGCTCCCATCCTCGAGAGTGAGTCTGAGCTTCATTTCCTAGTGAACCGGCAGGATCCCAGGAGTGACTTGAAGACTTGGCTGTGTTGTTATTTTTATTGGGGCTTGAGTGGGAGAGTTTTGTCCTGGGATGTGCTTTGGCTCTCTTCTCATTCTTCTGAACCTTAGAAGTTTCTTCTTGACTCTTGGAGAGCGTCTCAGGTTTAAGGTTACCATCTCACTGGGCGTGGTGGCTCATGCCTGTAAGCCAAACACTTTGGGAGGTCAAGGTGGAAAGATTGCATGAGCCTAGAAGTTCGAGGCTGCAGTGAGCTGTGATCACGTCACTGCACCACTGCACTCCAGCCTGGGCAACAGAGCAAGACTCTGTCTCTCAAAAAGGAAAAGAAAAAAAAAAAGAAGGCTGCCGTCTCTCATTGTAACTAATACTCATCAGGGCACATCCTTGACTGTCCTTTGAGGATACTGCCACATTCCTAGACACCTCTTGACTGAAACCAAGGTTGATTTTATGATTGCTACAAGTGTCCGTTCCTGTAGGCCTCTGGAGAGTGCTCACATATTGGTCCCTGATCCCTTAACCTTCTATCTATCATCTGAGATGTGGAGAGGAGAGTCCAGATAACTATGTTGAACTTTTTTTTTTTTTTTAGCCTGAGTTTCGCTCTTGTTGCCCAGGCTGGAGTGCAGTGGCGTGGCCTCAGCTCACTGCAACGTCTGCCTCCTGGGTTCAGATGATTCTCGTGCCTCAGTCTCCCAAGTAGCTGGGATCACAGGTGCGTGCCACCACGCCTGTCCAATTTTTTGTATTTTTAGTAGAGATGGGGGGTCTCACCGTGTTGACCAGGCTGGTCTTGAACTCCTGACCTCAGGTGGTCCACCTGCTCGGCCTCCCAAAGTGCTGGGATTACAGGCATGAGCCACTGCGCCTGGCCCCCCAAACATTTATTTAACCCCCTTATCCCTTTGCCCTAAATAAAGGAAGATCAGCCACTTGTTCTTTTTTTTTTTCTTTTGAGACGGAGTCTCACTGTGTCACCCAGGCTGGAGTGCAGTGGCTGGCACAATCTCAGCTCACTGCAAGCTCCACCTCCCGGGTTGACACCATTCTCCTGCCTCAGCCTCCCAAGTAGCTGGGACTACAGGCACCTGCCACCACACCCGACGAATTTTTTGTATTTCTAGTAGAGACCGGGTTTCACTGTAGTCTCTATCTCCTGACCTCGTGATCCGCCCACCTCGGCCTCCCACAGTGCTGGGATTACAGGTGTGAGCCACTGCGCCCAGCCTCACTTGTTCTTTCTCTTTCATCACAACAAAGAGTTTCATCCCTACACAAAGCTGTGGAGCAGAGACGCCTAGCTTTCCCTTCTTTTCTTTTCTCTCTCTCTTTTTTTTTTTCCTGAAACAGGGTCTTGCTCTGTCTGTCGCTCAGGCTGGAGTGCAGTGGTACGATCATGGTTCACTGCCACCTCGACCTCCCAGGCTCAATCAGTCCTCCCATCTCAGCCTCCCAAGTATATAGGCATGCATCACCATGCCTGGGTAATTTTTGAAATTTTTTGTAGAGACAGGGTCCTACTATGTTGCCCAGGCTGCTCTCGAACTCCTGAACTTAAGTGATCCTCCCATCTTGGCCTCCCAAAATGCTGGGATTAATGACATGAGCCACTGTACCAGGCCTGCTTTTTTAAATAGAAGGGCAAAAACAAGACTGGTTTGTTTGCAAGCGATAGCCCAGACAGAGGAGGGGTTTCCCCTCATGATTGACTTGGTCATCAGCTGAGAGCATGTGAAATGAAAACCCTACTGGTATGCTTTCCAGAGCCCAAAGGAAGCAGTGGTGGCTATGGCTCTGGAGGAGCTGCCCTGCAGCCCAAGGGAGGTCTGTTCCAAGGAGGAGTGCCGAAGCTTCGACCTGTGGGAGCCAAGGACGGTTCAGGTATCTGATGAGTACTTTCCCAGGATATTTCCCTGGTGTGTTAATTTCTGATGTCCCAAGTGGGCCATCTCAGGTTGAGGAGTGTGGTAAAGGTCGGGGGCAGAAAGACTTGGGAGCAGGGGAGGAGTTATACAGTAGAATACAGCAAAAGCTGAGGGATTAAATGAAAGCGGATGCAATTTAGATAAAGAAAATGTGGTATATATACACTAGAATACTATTTAGCCTTAGAAAAGAAGGAAACTTCTGTCATTTCTGATAATACGGATGAACTTGGAGGACATTATACTAAGTGAAATAAGCCAGGTACAAAAACACAAATACTGCATGATCTCATTTTTATGTGGGATCTGAAACAGTTGAACTCATTCATAGAAGTAGAGAGTGAAACGTTGGTTACTAGAGGCTGGGGGCAGTAGGTGTTGGGATGGAGAAAGGGGAGATGTTGGTCAAAGGGTACAAAGTTTCAGTTAGACAGGAGGGATAAGTTTTAGTGATCTATTGCAGCAGTCCCCAGTCTTTTAGGCACCAGGAACTGGTTTCATGGAAGACAATTTTTCCATGGATGGTGGTCGGGGATGGTTTCGGGATGAAACTGTTCCACCTTAGATCATCAGGCGTTAGTTAGATTCTCATAAGGGGCATGCAACCTAGATCCCTCACATGGGCGGTTCACAGTGGAGTTCGCCCTCCTATGAGAATCTAATGCTGCTGCTCTTCTGACAGGAGGCGGAGCTCAGGCGGTAATGCTTGCTCTCTCACCTTCTGTGTGCCCCGTTCCTAACAGGTCACTGACCTGTACAGGTGCGTGGCCCCAGGGGTATAATCAGACGACCCCTGATTATACTTGATGTATATTTGAAAATTGCTAAAAGAGTTTTATTTTATTTATTCTTTTCTTTTTTTTCCTCCTGAGATGGAGTCTTGCTCTGGCCCAGCCTGGAGTGCAGTGGCGCCATCTTGGCTTACTGCAACTTCCCCCTCCTGGGTTCAAGCCATTCTCCTGCCTCAGCCTCTCAAGTAGGTGGGATTACAGGCACAGGCCACCACACCTGGCTAATTTTTGTAGTTTTAGTAGAGATGGGGTTTCGCCATGTTGGCCAGGCTGGTCTCAAACTTCTGACCTCAAGTGATCCATCCGCCTTGGCCTCCCAAAGTGCTGGGGTTACAGGCATGAGCCACTGCGCCTGTTGTAGAGTAGATTTTAAGTGTTTTCACCATAAAAAGAAAAATAGGTGATGGATATGTTAGTTTGATTTAATCATTCCACAATGTATACATATAACAAGGCATTGTATCCCATAAATACATAAAATCATTACTTGTCAAAAATGAAGTAAAATTTAAAAATAAATAACAATGTATCCTGAGCCTGAAACCGTATTAAAACCTAGAACTAGGCCAGACGTGGTGGCTCACGCCTGTAATCCCAGCACTTTGGGAGGCCGAGGTGGGTGGATCACCTGAGATTAGGATTTTGAGACCAGCCTGGCCAACATGGGGAAACCCCATCTCTACTAAAAATACAAAAATTAGCCGGGTGTGGTGGTGCGCGCCTGTAATCTCAGCTACTCAGGGGTCTGAGGCAGGAGAATCACTTGAACCCATGAGGCAGAGGTTGCGGTGAGCTGAGATCGTGCCATTGCACTCCAGCCTGGGCAACAACAGCAAAACTTTGTCACACACACAAAAAAGCAAAAACCCAGAACTATGCAAGTCCTTTCCCTGCTACCATGCAGGTTGCACTAAGGAGCTGAGTCAAGTAGAGATACTGACCAGTATCTGTCTAGCTCTGTTGACCCCGTGTTTGTGTATTTGTAGAGAACCTAGCTGGTAAGCCGGCCCTGCAAGTCCCCAGTTCTCGAGCTGCTGCCCCAAGGCCTCCAGTATCTGCAGCCAGCGGGCGTCCTCAGGATGATACAGACAGCAGCCGGGCCTCACTCCCAGAACTGCCCCGGATGCAGAGACCCTCTTTACCGGACCTCTCTCGGCCTAATACCACCAGCAGTACGGGCATGAAGCACAGCTCCTCTGCCCCTCCCCCGCCACCCCCAGGGCGGCGTGCCAACGCACCCCCCACACCTCTGCCTATGCACAGCAACAAAGCCCCCGCCTACAACAGAGAGAAACCCTTGCCGCCGACGCCTGGACAGAGGCTTCACCCTGGTCGAGAGGGACCTCCTGCTCCACCCCCAGTCAAACCACCTCCTTCCCCTGTGAATATCAGAACGGGACCAAGTGGCCAGTCTCTGGCTCCTCCTCCTCCGCCTTACCGCCAGCCTCCTGGGGTCCCCAATGGACCCTCTAGCCCCACTAATGAGTCAGCCCCTGAGCTGCCACAGAGACACAATTCTTTGCATAGGAAGACACCAGGGCCTGTCAGAGGCCTAGCACCTCCTCCGCCCACCTCAGCCTCCTCCTCTTTACTGAGTAATAGGCCACCTCCCCCAGCCCGAGACCCTCCCAGTCGGGGAGCAGGTAAGTGCTTGGAAGCACCTTTTTCCCTATCGTGCTGTGAATTGATTTTATCTTTTCCCCAGAGCACTGCTTGAAGACAGTAATTCATTTATTCATTCAGTGGGTTTATTGAGTACCTTTTTATGCGTCAGATCTGTTGGTAGGGAAATAGCAATAAATAGAAAAGACAAAAAGTTCCTGTTTTGGACAGTCAAACTAGTAAAATATATAAATACATAGTATGTAGTATGCTTTAGAGAATTACAAAGCAGAGGAGAGGAATAAGATGTACTGGGGCGGAGGTCGGATGATGATAACTTAAATTGGAGCAGTAGGGAGAGAGTCAAGACAGTCCTTACTGATAAGGTGAAAATTTGACAAAGACCTGAAGAAAGTGACGAGTAAGCTTAGTAGTTATCTAGGAGAACAGCTGTTGCAGGCAGTGGGAACAACAAATGTAGAGGACATAAGGTAGAAGTATTCTTGAAACATTTTGGGGACAGCAAGAGGGCCTTTGTGGCGAGACTAGAAAGACTGAGGGAGGGAAGAGAGGTAGGACTTAGAGGTTGGAAAGCTGGAGCTGCAGGGGAGAACACTGCAGGACTTTGCAAAGACCTTGAATTTAACTTTGTGAGATGGGAAGCCACTGGAGAGTTTTAAACAGAGAAGTAGTATGATTTGACTCACCTTTTAAAAAGAACACTAGCTCCTATGTTGATAACAGACTGCAGTAGGACAAAGGTGACAAAAAGAGACCAGTTACTGGACTGTTGCAGTAAATAGCCAGATGGTTAGGACTACTGCGAATTTGTGGGAAGATAGGTGTTTGGTTTGAGACAAGTTTGAGATGCCTATTAGGTACTCAAGAAGAGATAATGAATTGGTACTTGGCTATCAGACTCCAAATTTGAGGGGAGAGGTCTCGACTAGAGAGACACATTTGAATGGTATTGAAAATCACATGCTAGATGAAGTCACCTAACGAGTGAGTATAGATAAGAAGAGTCCTAGGAGGCTGAGGCAGGAGAATTGCTTGAACTCAGGAGGCAGAGGTTGCAGTGAGCCAAGATCACGCCACTGCACTCCAGCCTGGGTGACAGAGTGACGCTGTGTTTCAAAAAAAAAAAAAAAAAGATGAGGGCTAAGCCCTCGCCCTCCTACATTAGAGGCAAGAGAGATAAAGAATACCCAGTGGAGGAAACAGAAAAGCTTCTAGTGAGGATGGAAGGAGAAAAACCAAGAATGTGATGGAGAAACTCCAAGGTAGAGTAAGTGGTCAGCTGTGCCCAGTGCTGCAGATGGGTCGGGTAAGTTAAAGGCCAAGAACTGGCATTGGTCTTAGTATCATGGGACCCTTTGGAGTAGTTTCAGTGGAGTGGTGGAGGGCGAAAGTGAAAGCTTAATTGGAGTGGGTTCAAGAATGCAGGAATAGGAGGAGAGAAATTGGAGATAGCAATATAGAAATATCTTAAAGAGTTTGCTGTAAAGTCCAGGAGAGAGGGGTGAAGAGAAGTGAAGTGAATGTTGGAGGAAGATGTGGGGTTGAGAGTTGGTTTTTTCCCATCCCAAGATGAGAGACCTATTTGTATGCTGATGGAATGAGTAGCATGAAACTTAGAAGAGAGGGAAAAAATTGAATCAGAGGAGAGGGAACAGATTGCCTAAATAATGACCTTAGGAGGCCAGAGGAGAGAGAATGTGATCCACAGATAAAAGGTTGGCCTTAGATAGAAATGTGGTTCTTCCGTAATAACAAGAGGGGAGGCAGAGCATATAGGCTTAGAAGCAAGTGGGTAGGTGGGTGTAGTGGTAGAAGCAAGTGGAAAGTTTATTCTAATTTGCTTCTGTTTTCTCAGTGAAATGGAAAGCAAGAGCATCAGCTGTGATTGAGGCGAGGGAAGGAGAAGGCGAGTTGAGGAGAGAGAAGTGGCATGAAATGGTCATCTGGAGCATGGGAGTATGGGTGGATTAGGGAAATGTGCTCAGATAGGCAACCACGCGAAGGGCCCACTTGAGATTATGGGCTATACATTTCATGTGAGATTAATTAGTCTCATGTGTGTTCAACTGTGATTTGCAGGTACAAAATAAGAGTAGAGCTCTGTTTAACCAGTGTTAGCATGTTTTAGGCATGTGCGACTCTAAGGGAGAGTGAGGCAGGAAGGAAAGGGTGTATGTGAGGGAGTGATTGCAATAATGAAGCCTAAGCTGGGTAAGGAGGAAATTCAGGAACCCTGGAAAAAGAAGAGGTTGTGTAATCTCCTTATAATTAGCATAATTGAAATTTTAGAGTGAGGGGAGACCATGACAGCTCTCTGGGGCCTTATTGGACCTGGGAATTTTGGCTCCCATATCCTTGTATCATTAGACTTTGAGATATACCCTCCCCAAACAGCTTCTTATCCTTTATTTATTTATTTGTTTGTTTGTGTTTTGAGACAGAGTCTTGCTCTGTCATCCAGGCTGGAGTGCAGTGGTACGATCTCTGCTCACTGCAACCTCTGCCTCCCAGGTTCAAGTGATTGTTATGTTTCAGCCTCCCAAGTAGCTGGAATTACAGGCAAGTGCCACCATACCTGGCTAATTTTTGTATTTTTAGTAGAGACGGGTTTTCACCATGTTGGCCAGGCTGGTCTCAAACTCCTGACCTCAAGTGAGCCACTGCGCCCAGCCCTTAGCTTTTATTTTAAAGTCAGTTTCTGTAGGTATAGAACATTGATTAAGGAGTTATGTCATGGAGTCTGGGCATGATGGCTCATGCCTGTAATCCCAGCACTTGGGATTGGGGAGGTTGAGGCCGGCAGTTCACTTAAGCCCAGGAGTTCGAGACTAGCCTGGGCAACATAGCAAAACCCTGTCTCTACAAAAAATAATTTTAAAAAATTAGCCTGGCATGGTGGTGCATGCCTGTAGTCCCAGCTACTCGAGAGGCTGAGATGGAAGACCACTTGAGCCTGGGAGGTGGAAGTTGCAGTGAGCCGTGATAGTGCCACTGCACTTCAGCCTGGGCAACACAGCAAGACCTTGCCTCAAAGGAAAAAAAAAAAAATGGTAAAGGTTATATCATTAAGTAACAAGGCATTAAAGGCCTATTAACCTGTGTGCAGCTGCTTTATTTGGTACACACAGATTTGTACTCTGGCAGCTGGCCATCTAACGTAGGGCAGCCAAACAGTGGCCTGCTGCATTCCTGATCCCATATCTCCCTAGCTTTAGCCATAAGGAGGTAGTCCTAAGGTGGACCTTGATTCTGTAAAGTTCAGGTTTGACTTTTTTTTTTTAACTTAGGGATTTTACAAAAGACTCTTATTAGGGATTTTACAAAAGACTCTTTGAGCAAAGCTCATATCTTTCTGACCTCATCCAGGAATAGAAGAAGAGAAAAATGCAATTTCCGTGGGTTGAGCTGAGTACTGTTAAATGTCTGTAGGCTTTCTTGCTTCCCACTTTTCCATTCCTTCTCTGTGATAGCTAGGGCTACAGGGGTGTTGCCACCATGTCTGGCTCATTAATTTTTTTTTTTTTTTTTTTAAGATGAGGTCTGTGTTGCCCAGGCTGGACTCAAACTCTTGGGCTCAAGCCGTCTTCCCACCTTGGCCTCCCGAAGCCCTGAGATTACAGATGTGAGCAATTGTACCTGGCTAGAGCAGCAATTCTTAAGAGTGATAAACTGGAAAAAAATTGAGGTATTTTAGTCAGAGATCGTTTGAGTATTGCCTCGATTTGTTGTGTGACATTGGACAGATCGCTGATTCTCTCTTTTCTCATCTGTAAAATGTACATTTGAAAAGTACAGTGGGGGTAAGGCACAGAGGCTCACACCTGTAATCCTAGTGCTTTGGGAGGCTGAGGCAGGAGGATCGCTTGAGACTGGGAGTTCAAGACCAGCCTGGGCAACATGGTGAAACCCCATTTCTACAAAAAATAAAAAAAGTAGGCCGGGTGCAGTGGCTCACGCCTATAATCTTAGCATTTTGGGAGGCTGAGACAGGCAGATCACTTGAGGTCGGGAGTTCAAGACCAGCCTGGCCAACATGGTGAAACCTCGTCTGTCTACTAAAATACAAAAATTAGCCGGGCATGATGGCGGGTGCCTGTAATCCCAGCTACTCGAGAGGCTGAGATAGGAGAATTGCTTGAACCTGGGAGATTGTGGTTGCAGTGAACTGAGATCGCAGCACTACACTCCAGCATGGGTGGCTGAGCGAGACTCTGTCTCAAAAAATAATAATAAATAAAAATAAATTTTAAAAACCTAGCCAGGCGTGGCAGCGTGTGCCTGTGGTCCCAGCTACTTGGGAGGCTAGGATGGGAGGATCACTTGAACCCAGGAGGCAGAGGCTGCAGAGAGCTGAGATCACACCACTGCACTCCAGCCTAGGCAGCAGAGCAAGACCCTGTCTCAAAAAAAAATCCTAAAAACACAAAAACTAGTATTATTGGTTTATAGAGTTTGTTTCAAGAATTTTTTCTTTGCAGAGTAAAACACTGTCCATTTTTAAGGGAATTAAAAAAAAAATTGAAACCATCATACTTTTGTCAAAATTAGGGTTAATCTTGGATTACAAAAGGCTGTCTCCCATCCCAGGACTTCTTTTGCAAATTGTTTTTTTAGGGACTGGAGTTCTGGCTCTGTCACTTGAAACAGTCTTAAAACTGGATCTGGGGCCAGGCGCGGTGGCTCAAGCCTGTAATCCCAGCACTTTAGGAGGCTGAGACGGGCGGATCACGAGGTCAGGAGATCGAGACCATCCTGGCGAACACGGTGAAACCCCGTCTCTACTAAAAATACAAAAAATTAGCCGGGCATGGCAACGGGTGCCTGTAGTCCCAGCTACTCGGGAGGCTGAGGTAGGAGAATGGCGTGAACCCAGGAGGCGGAGCTTGCAGTGAGCCAAGATCGCGCCACTGCACTCCAGCCTGGGGGACAGAGTGAGACTCCATCTCAAAAACAAACAAACAAAAAAACAACTGGATCTGACAAAGAACCCAGAAGCTTATTGGAGACAGCAGAACCTGGCTGAGATGAGGGAGGGAGCTGGAGGAGCCAAACAGATCACTCTTATCCTGCTCTATTTTGCCATTCCAGGTCATCTCATCAGTGTCACCTGCCTGGTGTGTAGCTGGTGCCAGTGTCCTTGTGAACGTGGCTAACCCTGTCTACCTTGCTTCCCTGCCCTGGGAGTAGATACAAATTCTCAGGGTCTTGAGGAATCTGGGTTTTCAGGAATATTTTTCAGGGCTTAAAGAAGCTTCTCTTAAAGAGCTTTGGTTTGAGTAGGTTTGGAATGAAAACAAGGCTCAGGCCAGGCGCGGTGGCTCATGCCTATAATCCCAGCACTTTGGGAGGCCAAGGCGGGCAGATCATGAGGTCAGGAGATCGAGACCATCCTGGATAACTGGTGAAACCCCGTCTCTACTAAAAATACAAAAAAATTAGCCAGGCGTGGTGGCGGTACCTGTAGTGCCAGCTACTCGGGAGGCTGAGGCAGGAGAATGGCATGAACTCGGGAGGCGGAGCTTGCAGTGAGCCAAGATCATGCCACCACACTCCAGGCTGGGCAACAGAGCGAGACTCCGTCTCAAAAAAAAAAAAAAAAAAGGCTCAGAGATCTGCTGGGAGGTATAAGATTTCTCTTTAATTATTGCATCTAGTGTCCCCTGTTTCTCCTTGAACAAAGCTTGGAAACAGTGAGGAAGAGTTGACATTCTGAGTGTGTCTTATGGGAAGCAAAAACATTTATTGGGCTTATTGTGCCAGCTTGTGTGTGTGTGTGTGTGTGTGTGTGTTCATTCCATTACCGTGTTACATGCTTAGCTATAGTCACTACAGAAATTCTGACAGTAAGCAGGAGGAATAATAGGACACTCTTTTCTTCAAGACAGTCTTGCTCTGTCACCAGGCTGGAGTGCAGTGGTGCGATGTTGGCTTCTTGCAACCTCCACCTCCCAGGTTCAAGCTCCTCCCACCTCAGGCTCCAGAATATCTGGGATTGCAGGCATGCGCCACCACGCTTGGCTAATTTTTGTACCTTTTTTTTAAAGTAGAGGTGGGGTTTCACCATGTTGCCCGGGCTGATCTCGAACTCCTGGTATCAAGCGTTCTGCCTGCCTCAGCCTCCCAGAGTGCTGGGATTACAAATGTGAGCTACTGTGCCCGGCCAAGATACCGTTTTATTACTAAAAACAGTTTTGTCTGTTAAGCTGAGTAGTCTCTTCACGTACTATTTAGGTAACAACTATTTATCAGGCCACGTGCTGTGGCACATGCCTATAATCCCAGCCCTTTGCTGAGGCTGGAGCATTACTTGAGCCCAGGAGTTTGAAGCTGCAGTGAGCTGTGATTCCACCACTGCACTTTAACCTGGGTGACACAGTGACACCCTGTCTCTTTTAAAAAAAAAAAAAAAATTGAACATGGCCCAGATACCAAAAGATGCACTTCCAAGCCACTGAATTGTAAATCTGGTTGGAAAGATACTATGCAGAATACTGGGAGTTATGAAAAGCAGTGTGGGAGAGTAGAAAGAGCAGACATGTGCCTTGCCTGTTTTTATTTGATCTGCGACCTTAAACAGATCAAATAAAATGACAAATGAGAGTCCCAGTTTTCTCATTTGTGAAATGGGGATAATACTACATTCTTTGCAGGTGTGGCTATAAGACTTTTTCAAGATTTACTACACCTAAAATACCTGGAACATAATAGATACCCAATAAGTGGTAGCTGCTATTATTGTTAGTTAATACAGAGCATAGGAGTAAGACAACTTAAACACATTAGAATCTATTGTATTCCAGTCATATTGCCATGTCTTCACACATGCTTTTGACGTTACCTTCTACTTGGTGGCAAATTTTCATCTTTTAAGAGTGAATTTGATTTTTGGAAATGACCAAAAAGCAGATTCAGACACAGGTATGAATATTTTCTTTTTTTTTTTTGAGGCAGAGTTTTGCTCTTGTTGCCCAGGCTGGAGTGCAATGGCACAATCTCGGCTCACTGCAACCTCCGCCTCCTAGGTTCAAGCAGTTCTCCTGCCTCAGCCTCCCGAGTAGCTGGGATTACAGGCATGCGCCACCACTCCCGGCTAATTTTTGTATTTTTAGTAGAGACTGGGTTTCTCCATGTTGATTAGGCTGGTCTTGAACTCCCAACCTCAGGTGATCCTCCCGCCTCGACCTCCCAAAGTGCTGGGATTACAAGTGTGAGCCACCACGCCCGGCATAGGTATGAATATTTTCATTGGTGGTGGGACGACCTCAGAAATGAAATGTGACCATCATATAATAGTGTTTATAGCTCTGTCTGATAAACTTGCTTTGGAGGCAGTTCCAAAAGAGGTGTTTGCAATGTTTGAGCAATGAGACTGTTACTGGACATTTGTAACTTCCCACAATGAATCTGCTGTATATATTTTGAAAGTCGCTCATTGATATTAGAGTAAGTGACATAGCCTGTATATGCTGTGGGAGAGCAGAGGTGGAGGGACTCAGAAGAAAATGGATTGCTTTGGGAAAGCCTTGAGAAGATGGGACTTGGATTGAACCTTGAAGGATAGGGAGGATTTGGTAGTAAGGGAAGGGGGGATATCAGAATATTGTGAGGGGAGTCACAAGAGCAAAGCATGTAATTCAGTTCATTCAGCAGACATTGATTGAACACCTGCTGTGTGCTGTACTTGAGAACCCAGAAGGAGGAACTGCTCTGACATCAAGGGGTACACAGTATACTGGGGGAAGAGTACACAGAAGAAATAATTATAACAGTCTATTCAAGTGGTAGGTACGCACAAGCTGCAGTGGAAGTGCAGAGGAGGGCTCCTGACCTAGCCTAGCAATAAGAAGGGAAGAGGAGAAGCCAAACTCAGGCTGATAGGCATGGTAGGTTACTATGTAAGCAAAGGCTTTGAGACTTTATTTATTTATTTACTTATGTATTTGAGATGGAGTCTCGCTCTGTTGCCCAGGCTGGAGTGCAGTGGCACAATCTGGGCTCACTGCAGCCTCCACCTCCCAGGTTCAAGTGATTCTTGTGCCTCAGCCTCCTGAGAAGCTGGGACTACAGGCACATGCCACCGCACTGGGCTAATTTTTTGTATTTTTAGTAGAGATGGGGTTTCATCATGTTGCCCAGGCTGGTCTCGAACTGCTGAGCTCAGGCAATTCCTCCCACCTTGGCCTCCCAGAGTGCTAGGATTATAGACGTGAGCCATCATACCCAGCCACGGTTTGAGACTTTATGATTTAGGCAGTGCAAAGGCTTTGAAAAAATTGGATCAAGTTTTTAGGGAGATTAGTGAGTTGGTGTTATGCAAAATGAATTTGGAGGGGTAATAGACGAAGCAAGGAGAACATTCGGAAGGCTTTTGCAGTGGAACAGGCTAAATATAAGGAAGACTTGAATTAGAATTGTGGAGGAAGGCATAGAAAAGCATAAAAAAAATCAAGAACAGATAGAGTTCTTGACTGACTGGTACGAAATGTAAAAAGGTCATACATTTATTCTGAATATTGGTATCTGGAAGAATGGTGATATTATTCAAGTAATAAGGACAAAGGGGGACCAGGCACTGTGAGCGTCTGTGGGACGTGTTATTCTTTTAGCTCATGTATTTCAAGTCATTCTACCACTTGCCATCTCCACATCCAAACCTAACTACTTTGGATTTGAATTGCAGCTCCTCCACCCCCACCACCCGTGATCCGAAATGGTGCCCGGGATGCTCCCCCTCCCCCACCGCCATACCGAATGCATGGGTCAGAACCCCCGAGCCGAGGAAAGCCCCCACCTCCACCCTCAAGGACGCCAGCTGGGCCACCCCCTCCTCCTCCGCCACCCCTGAGGAATGGCCACAGAGATTCTATCACCACTGTCCGGTCTTTCTTGGGTGAGTAGCTAGCTATCTGTAGTCTCATGGTTCCTGCGGTGACTTCACCCACTCCACTGCCATGGCTGCCAGATGGCCACCGTAGAGCAGGAATGGCCACATGGGATCCTTTGTTCACAATAGTTCTCCTCCTGACTTTATCCTCAGACTTACGGGCTGTGTTCATTGACTTCCTTATCTTGATGTGAATTCTAAGCATGGATGCTTTGGAATAGATTGAAGTAAGATCAGCAAGTATTATGCTAACTTAATTCTAAAGCCACTCCAAAGATCAGTTTCTGTAGCTCGCTTTTAGGTCAGAGACTCTGTATCTTCTTTAGGATTATTCAGACAGGACTTACGTATTCTCCTAGGAAGGAGTATTCCTTTCTAGCTCTTCAAAAACAAAACATTTGATTGTTCTTGGAATTACTTTTTTAAATTATTTTTTATAGAGACCGGGTCTCTGTTGCCCAGGCCTCCCAAAGTGCTGGGATTACACATGTGAGCCGTCACACCCAGCCTCACAGCCCCTCCTTGGAATTCTTGGGGAAAAAAAAAAAAAAAAGTCCCATGGCACATTGCCTGGAAAGAAACAAGAAGAAAGAATAACAAAAAATATTACAGAAAAAAGGATTGGGTGTGGTGGCTCATGCCTGTAATCTCAGCACTTTGGGAGGCCAAGGTGGGAGGATTGCTTTGAGCCCAGGAACTCAAGACCAGCCTGGGCAACATGGTGAAACTTCATCTCTCTGAAAAATACAAAAATTAGCTGGGTGTGGTGGCACATGCCTGTGGTCCGAGCTACTCAGGAGGATTGCCTGAGTCCAGGGAGATTGAGGCTGCCACAAGCCGTGATCGCACCACTGCACCCCAGCCTGGGCAACAGAGCGAGACTCTGTCTCAAAAAAA